TTCCATAAACATTTCACTTGATCTTTATTTGTGTTCCTCTCCTGTCGATCTCTTTATCATGTCTGTGTGGTTTCATGATTTTCGTTATAAAAAAAAGTAAACTATAAAGACTAATTTAAAATATGAATAAAAAATGTTAATATTATCTCAGTGATAGTAAAATAACACTGGGTCTCTCACCTCTTCCATGTCTTGTTCTTCTTGCGCGAACGTTTGAACAGGTAGCCTTGAATCGTTCCTCCGTCAGACGGATTACACACAATAACTGCCTCTCCAGACGCGTCCTACCAAAAACACACACACACACAGTCATTATTATCAACCGTTTTCAGATGTACACCATCAAAATATCAACCTCCAGAATCATACCAGCTCCCAAACTCACTATGACTGAACAGACTGAGGCATGACCGTTTTGAAAAGGTTTAACAAACAGTTTTATATTTTCATGTTGAAATGTGTGTGTGTGTGTGTGGGGGGGGGGATTATCCCTTTTCTATAATTTTTTGACAGAAAATGTGGATTTAAAAAGTAAAAAGATACAACCATTTTTAAGGTTTTTCTGAATGCAATAGAACTATCCTTCCACGAAATACGAAATACTTCTAGTTTTGTTTTCTTCCAGCTGCGCCCCATTCCAAGTGCTCAGATAATAATAATTAGGACTGTAATCAACCAAACAAACTCTTGGTCGACCGGGTGGTGATGGCGCAGTGGATAAGAAGACACGTGCATTTGGTGTGAGAGACCCGGGTTCGAATCCACTGTGAGACACCAATGTGTCCCTGAACAAGTCACTCTGACATACTGCTGAGTATTTGTTGAGTATTGAGTATTTGCTGAGTACTGAGTATTTGTTGAGTACTGAGTATTTGTTGAGTACTGAGTATGTTTTGAATAATGAGTATGTTTTGAGTAGAGTATCATTTGAGTAAAGAGTTTTGATTGAGTTGTGTTTTAAGTATATAGTAGTGAGTACTGAGTATTTGTTAAGTAATGAGTATCTTTTGAGTAGAGTATTTGCTGAGTACTGAGTATTTGCCGAGTACTGAGTATTTGTTGAGTACTGAGTATCTTTTGAGTAATGAGTATTTGCTGAGTACCGAGTATTTGCTGAGTACTGAGTATTTGCTGAGTACTGAGTATTTGTTGAGTACTGAGTATTTGTTGAGTACTGAGTATTTGCTGAGTACTGGGTATTTGCTGAGTACTGAGTATTTGTTGAGTACTGAGTATTTGTTGAATAATGAGTATGTTTTGAATAATGAGTATGTTTTGAGTAGAGTATCATTTGAGTAAAGAGTTTTGATTGAGTTGTGTTTTAAGTATATAGTAGTGAGTACTGAGTATTTGTTGAGTAATGAGTATCTTTTGAGTAGAGTATTTGCTGAGTACTGAGTATTTGCCGAGTACTGAGTATTTGTTGAGTACTGAGTATCTTTTGAGTAATGAGTATTTGCTGAGTACCGAGTATTTGCTGAGTACTGAGTATTTGCTGAGTACTGAGTATGTGTTGAGTACCGAGTATTTGCTGAGTACTGAGTATTTGCTGAGTACTGACTATTTGCTGAGTACCGAGTATTTGTTGAGTACTGAGTATTTGCTGAGTAATGAGTATCTTTTGAGTACTGAGTATTTGCTGAGTACCGAGTATTTGTTGAGTACTGAGTATTTGCTGAGTACTGAGTATTTGTTGAGTACTGAGTATTTGCTGAGTACTGAGTATATGTTGAGTAATGAGTATTTGTTGAATACTGAGTATTTGTTGAATAATGAGTATGTTTTGAATAATGAGTATCATTTGAGTAAAGAGTTTTGATTGAGTTGTGTTTTAAGTATATAGTAGTGAGTATTGAGTATTTGCTGAGTACTGAGTATTTGCTGAGTACTGAGTATTTGTTGAGTAATGAGTATTTGCTGAGTACTGAGTATTTGTTGAGTACTGAGTATTTGTTGAGTACTGAGTATTTTTTGAGTAAAGAGTTTTGATTGAGTTATGTGTTTTGAGTATATAGTAGTAATGAGTATTGAGTATTTGCTGAGTACTTTTATTTTTGAGTAATGAGTACGGAGTCTTTTTTGCGTATTGAGTAATGAGTTTTGTGTATTGAGTAATGAGCATGGAGTCGTCGGAGTCTCTTTTGAGTATTGAGTAATGAGTTGTGTGTATTGAGTAATGAGCATTGAGTATTTTTTTTTAAATGCTACTTTTAGGAGTACACTAGCTATAAGACCCTAAATTGTACCTCCAAACTTGTTTTATGTGGTCGTCAAAAGGTATACAACTAGCACTAAAATCTCACCCTTTGCTGAACGAGCAGGTGTGTGTTTTCCAGGTCTTTCCTCTTGGCAGAGCAGTCAGACGACAGCTGAGAGAGCTGCGCACACATATTACTCATATTAAACTTCAATATCCATGAAACATTAGTAATCAAACACTGCGTCTATGTAAATGGCTTTGTTGTGTGTGTGTGTGGGGTATAAACAGGGCGTTATGTGTGTGTTCATGTCTGACCTGTGAGGCCATCGTCTTCATGGTCGGTTCTAGATCTCTCAGCAGGTCGAATCCCTGGTGGAAAAATGTGTACTGAGCGTGAAAATACGAGAAGACCTGAGAACGAAAGATGATTTGAGTCAGTTTACATTCATCTGAACAAGATGTCATAGTATTTGCAAAGTTTGCTGAGTAGAGCTCACCGAATTCAGAATATCAAGCTTCTGTTGGACCTTGAAATTATTCAGCTGCAAGAAAAGAAAGAAAAACAATACATTACAATCATGTTCGGGCGCAGCTTCAAATGTGGGTGGATTTCGAAGCTATGCTGAAAAAGGGTTAATTTAAGTCTTAAAGGTACAGTAGCAACAAAAGCTCAAACTCAGAAAATGATCATGAAAGACTAAATTAACATGGTTTTGCTTGACTAAAATTATATGTGCTGTAAAAAAAATACAATATACAACAGTTCAACAATATAATGTAAAACCAACTAAAATATACCTACAATAAAATAATATAAAAATGTAAGCTAAAATATAATATACAACATGCCTGTAAAAAAAATATAAATTTTAAAATTATCAACTAAAATATAATATAAAATATGCCTGTAATAAAAAATATTATAAAAAATATAAACTGAAATATAATATAAAACATGCCTGTAATAAGATATATTATAAAAATATAAAGTGAAATATAATATAAAACATGCCTGTAATAAAAATATATTATAAAAATATAAACTGAAATATAATATAAAACTTGCCTGTAATAAAATATAATATAAAAATAGTATAACATTATAAACTATAATTATAAAAACAAACTAAAATATAACCTAAAACATGCCTGTAATAAAATATAACATGAAATCAAACTAAAATATAATATAAAATATGCCTATAATAAAATATATTATAAAAATATAAAGTGAAATATAATATAAAACATGCCTGTAATAAAATATATTATAAAAATATAAACTGAAATATAATATAAAACTTGCCTGTAATAAAATAATATAAAAATAGTATAACATTATAAACTATAATTATAAAAACAAACTAAAATATAACATAAAACATGCCTGTAATAAAATATAACATGAAAACAAACTAAAATATAATATAAAATATGCCTATAATAAAATATATTATACAAATATAAATGTAAAACATGCCTGTAATAAAATATAATATAAAAATACAAACTGAAATATAAGTCGATAATAATATATTATAAAAATACAAGCTGAAATATAATATAAAATATGCCAATAATAAAATATATTATAAAAATATATAGCGAAATATAATATAAAACATGCCTGTAATAAAATATAACATAAAAACAAACTAGAATTTCATATAAAAAATGCCTATAATAAAATATTATACGAATATAATGTAAAACATGCCTGTAATAAAATATAATATAAAAATATAAACTGAAATATAATATAAAACATGTAGAGAATAAAATATATTATAAAAATATAAGCTAAAATATAATATAAAATATGCCTATAATAAAATATAAACTGAAACATAATATAAAACTATATTTTTATTCTAAATAATAATAATAATATGCGGACTTCATTAAAAAAAGCTAAATGCTATAAAAACGTAGAACATACGCGCCTTAAACCCGGATGACTGACAGTACCTGCAGGCAGTAGTCCAGGGCGAAGTGTTGGTAGCACTTGCGTGTAGCGAGCAGCAAGTGAGTCGCTCTCTCCGCGTCCACGGGTTTGTGTCGGCTGACCTGAGCGTTCTTCCCAACGGTGGCGTCGAGGTCGTCTCCGATCCGGACGAACTCACGCCGGGTGTCGCGAATCTGCGGCACAAATCTGGCACAGAACAAACCATTACGCGTTAGTGAAAGTGTGTTAACGTTAGCGTTAGGTATCGTTCCCTTTAACCGGTACCTGAAAATTGGTGGCGGTACCCAACAGTACATTTTTACGGTTATTTAGGCATGTTTACCTCATTAATGTAAAGAAACTAAGTCATTTGTAGAAGCGTTATTAACATTATTCCAGAGCTGCCTGGGTCACTGTCTGCCATTGTCTGTCAAGCTTGAATATTAATAAAAAACTCAAATTAAATGTTTTGTTGTCCACAAATTCTGTCTTGTGAATTGTGTAATCAAATGAAGACATAAAACATTAATTTCATTGACAAAAAAATTATTTCATATAAAAACATGCGGCACAAGTGAGCTTTATACTGTTCAAATTACAACAAAAGTGTGATTATTCCTTAAAGAATTAATTTTCGATCATTTATTATTATTATTACTATTATTATTTTGAGATATCGAAATTCTACAGTACAAAAGTAATATATTATCAAGTTAAACCGAACTTTTATTTTGACGGGTTGTGTGTTAATGATATGACGATAGTTTTTCTTGAATGAAACTGTAAAATGCTGATGAACTTCAATGACTCTCATGTTCCCATATAGTGAGACTGCAGAGGCTGAAAACTGTGTGTGTGTGTTTGTGTGTTTGTGTGTGTGTGTGTGTGTGGTAAACGAAACCACACTCATGCGCCACTCATTCACACGTTCTCCCTTCTCAGGTACCGAAATTTGGCACGGATTGATTTAATGTGAATTGGTACTCAGTAACCCAACCCTAGTGAACGTGTGTGTGTGTGTGTGTGTGTGTTACGTACTGTGAAAGCAGGTTTGAGAGCTGCTGGGTAATTGCTCTCTGAGTCTGATCAAACAGCATCTGCATGAAAACACAATTATAATCAAAAATATGCGCAAGTCCAAAGGGATTGCCTACATGCCAGCTTTGAAAGAGGCTCGTCCCATCAGATTTGACTGGAAATGAATTTATTTTAAGCTTTATTTGTATTATTATTATTATTTCACTGAGAGAAAACTATTCAATTTCAAAACGAAATTTTACAATTCCCAGCAGAAGCCGCTGTAGTGCAATCTCTCTAAACATGAGGAATACAGAATGAGACTCACCGTCTGAAACTGGATCATTTCTTGAAGGCCTTGGTTGAACTGACGCAGGCAGTTCTGCAGAAACACAAGCAGTGAGAGGTCAGCGTGAGAGGTCAGCCAGAGGTCGTGACCCATCAGACATCTGTACTCACCAGAATAACTGCGTCGTTCTTATGATACGCGGTGAACTCGGCCAGTCCGGAGAGGAACAGCTGATTGCAGGAGGTGTAGTTCTGACCCGCATCCACCATCTGACCACACAACTTCATCACCTACAGAGAGAGGGAGGACGGCCATCAAGCTAAGATGAAATGTATAATAAGGGCTTATATCTTGAGAAAATTATCTTACATTGATCTTTTGACCTCCCCGCTCAAAAAAACGTTTAAAGGTGCAGTAAGCGATTTCTGAGAAACTGTTTTACATTTGAAAACAACAAAACAAACACGCCCTCTCACAAACTTTTTATGGCTCTGCCTCCATATTCAAGAACAGGCAACTGCCCCCATCATGAGTGGACACGCCCCCTTCTGCTGATTGGCTCACTCTCTCTTCCCCCATCATGAGTGGACACACCTCCTACAGCTGATTATCACTCTCTCCTCACCCTTCAATGAGTGGACACACCCCCTAGAGTTGATTGGCTCACTCTCTCCTCCCCTTCATGAGTGGACACGCCCACTACAGCTGATTGCCACATTCTCTCCTCACCCTTCAATGAGTGGACATGCCCCCTAATGCTGATTGGCTCACTCTCTCCTCACCCTTTAATGAGTGGACACACCCCCTAGAGTTGATTGGCTCACTCTCTCCTCCCCTTCATGAGTGGACACGCCCACTACAGATGATTGCCACACTCTCTCCTCACCCTTCAATGAGTGGACACGCCCCCTAATGCTGATTGGCTCACTCTCTCCTCCCCATCATGAGTGGACACACCCCCTACTGCTGACTGGCTCATTCTCTCTCCTCCCCATCTTAAGTGGACACGCCCCCTACAGCTGATTGGCTCACTCTCTCCTCCCCATCATGAGTGGACACGCCCCCTACTGCTGATTGGCTCACTCTCTCCTCCCCATCATGAGTGGACACACCCCCTACTGCTGATTGGCTCACTCTCTCCTCCCCATCATGAGTGGACACGCCCCCTACTGCTGACTGGCTCACTCTCTGATCCCCATCATGAGTGGACACGCCCCCTACTGCTGATTGGCTCACTCTCTCCTCCCCATCATGAGTGGACACGACCCCTCCTACTGATTGGCTCACTCTCTCCTCCCCATCATGAGTGGACACACCCCTACTGCTGATTGACTCACTCTCTGATCCCCATCATGAGTGGACACGCCCCCTACTGCTGATTGGCTCACTCTTCCTCCCCATCATGAGTGGACACGACCCCTCCTACTGATTGGCTCACTATCTCCTCCCCTTCATGAGTTGACACACCCCCTACTGCTGATTGGCTCATTCTCTCTCCTCCCCCATCATGAGTGGACACGACCCCTCCTACTGATTGGCTCACTATCTCCTCCCCTTCATGAGTGGACACGCCCCCTACAGCTGATTGGCTCACTCTCTCCTCCCCATCATGAGTGGACACGCCCCCTACTGCTGATTGGCTCACTCTCTCCTCCCCATCATGAGTGGACACACCCCCTACTGCTGATTGGCTCACTCTCTCCTCCCCATCATGAGTGGACACGCCCCCTACTGCTGACTGGCTCACTCTCTGATCCCCATCATGAGTGGACACGCCCCCTACTGCTGATTGGCTCACTCTCTCCTCCCCATCATGAGTGGACACGACCCCTCCTACTGATTGGCTCACTCTCTCCTCCCCATCATGAGTGGACACGACCCCTCCTACTGATTGGCTCACTCTCTCCTCCCCATCATGAGTGGACACGCCCCCTACTGCTGATTGGCTCACTCTTTCCTCCCCATCATGAGTGGACACGACCCCTCCTACTGATTGGCTCACTATCTCCTCCCCTTCATGAGTTGACACACCCCCTACTGCTGATTGGCTCATTCTCTCTCCTCCCCCATCATGAGTGGACACACCCCCTATATTTTATACACACACATATGACTTTGTATATAATATTATATATAAAATATATAATATTATATAAAATATATATTATATAATATTGTATAAAAACAAACTAATTTATAATATAATATAAAGCTTAAAATACTAATGTTTTCGGCACAAAAACTTCACCCGCTCATTATAATCAGACCTTACGGGAAAAAATGTATATATGCTGGCTGGTACATCTTACTTTCTCCACACGACTCTCCAGTTCTGCAACATCACTCTCGCATTTATCCAGGGACTGCCTGCAAACACACACACATCTCATCTGCATAAGTCATTAACAGCAGACACACACTACCACACCCCAAGGCATAGTGGGTATTTTACAAATTACATGTCCATGAGCTTTTAAAATGTAAATCAATTTCAAATCAACTTCTTGTTTTAAAATGACAAAATAATGAGTTTACTAACAATGACAATGTCGTTTAGATAGTTTTAGATGCATGTCATGACCCATCATGAACTAATGAACCATCATGATGAATGAGATGCTCATACCTGAATGCAGGAGAGTCTCTGATGCAATCCTCGAAGTCCAGGAGAGTGTCCATGCTGTGTTTCTCGTGCAATATTAGACTATTAACCCAAATACACAATCCAGACACGAATGATTCCTGCACGAGGCCTGATGCACAGACTGCATCATCATCACTGTCTCATGCGAGAGCCGCTATCTGATGATCTTTACATTCACTGCCTGTCAGATGGACAGAAATAACGCACGCGACGGCACTGCATCTCACACACACACCGCAGAAAATGCGCTTAGATCACAGTGATGCACGCGATTAATTCAAGCACTTTATTCAGGTTGTTATCGCGATGTATAGATGTGTGTGTTGACAGCTGCCGAGGTGTTTGTTCATGTTGATGCGAGTCGTTTTTCCGGTTGCGGATGTCATGCGTGACGAGGATGTCCGGTCAGCCATTTTCAAAATAAAAGCATGGATTATAAAATAAAATAACAATTTAATAAAAAATGTAAAAACAAAAACAAAAAAATTGGAAGAAAATAAATAAATAAAGAGAAAACAATAAAATTATTCTATTTTTATTCTAATAATTTATTCTAAATTTTTTTTTTAAATTATTCTAAAAATATGTACTAAAATTCATGGCTCTGCTAAAATTATTCTCACGTGTACCGAAACAATTCTAAAACAATCTTGGTGACTAAATTATATAAGTTAAATAAAGCTCTTTCAAGAGTGCATCCGTATCCGTTTTGATATTGCTGCTGTTTTATACCATCTATCTATGCACAATGTAACAGTTTAAATACACACAAATGACATCATGCTATGATGAAACTATCCACTGGCTCCCACACAGGAGTTCAGAGAGGACACAGATATCATGAGACTGTATAAAAGTTTATTATTTAGAATTTGATGCCAAACAGCACAAATACTAACATTTGACACAGTGTTTTCAAAAGCCCTGCTTTGAAGAAAAAAAAAATTGAGATTCAAACATCTCTATAATAAGCACCAGTTACTACTGAATTCATGCATTCATGTGTATCTGTGTGTGTAACAGAACATATTCTGAATGAAAGTGTGTGTGTGTGTGTGTGTGTGTAAAATGCTTTCAGAACTCAATAGAGACGAGAATGACAGTGACATTGTCCGCACTGCCCCGCCTCACTGCCTCACTGGCCAATCGCTGACAAGCAGTCTCAAAAGGCCCCGCCCCTTCGCTCTGCCCCTCCTTCTGCTCCACAGTCTCCTTCTAAAATAAATAAAAACTTTTTAACATACAATGCAAACAGCAGTAAGTATAGTAGCGTTGAGAAACAATACTACAGCTATATATTTTATTAATATTCTGAATCTTTTTATTTTTTCCTTTTAATCAAAGATTTAGTCATTTTGTTGTGTGTTCTTGTCTTTTTTTAAATATATATACACATCCTTGGTAACCAGCTGAAATAACATAAGTTTACGTTTTTTAATACTTTATATTATTCCAGTTATCGTTAATTTTATTTCAAGTAAAGAAACCCGTTTTTGTTTATTTTAATAACCCTGACACAAAGCTAACACTAACAAATTAAAACACACACCTCTAGAACGTCGAGGACAAACTGAACGGCTTCATCTGCAGAAAACACTTTGAAAAGCCCGTCGCATGCCAAGAGAACAAATCTGAATAAACACACACACACACAAACCACCAAAACGCTTTAGTGTTTCACTGGGGAAAGAAAGTCCAGCAGGTTTGGAGACACATAACTCAAGTAAACGCTGTAAGTGTGTGTGAGAGAGTGTGTGTGAAACCCACTTGTCGTTTGGACTGATCTGACAGCGTCGCAGGTCTGGAGTGGAGATCACACCACAGCGTTTATACTGGCCGTCACCGAGAGAACGAGACACTTCCAGCACTCCCAGCACACGACCGTCCCTGCACACACACACACACACACAGTTACAACGACTGTAACTGTATCCCAGAAGCTCTACAGGTGCACACACCCTCACTCACTCTCTCACTCACTCACTCTCTCACTCTCTCACTCTCTCTCTCACTCACTCTCTCACTCACTCACTCACTCACTCACTCACTCACTCTCTCACTCACTCCCTCACTCTCTCACTCACTCTCTCACTCAATCACTCACTCTCTCACTCACTCACTCACTCACTCACTCTCTCACTCACTCACTCACTCACTCACTCTCTCACTCACTCCCTCACTCTCTCACTCACTCTCTCACTCACTCACTCTCTCACTCTCTCACTCTCTCTCTCACTCACTCACTCACTCACTCACTCTCTCACTCACTCCCTCACTCTCTCACTCACTCTCTCACTCAATCACTCACTCTCTCACTCACTCACTCACTCACTCACTCTCTCACTCACTCACTCACTCACTCACTCCCTCACTCTCTCACTCACTCTCTCACTCACTCACTCTCTCACTCTCTCACTCTCTCTCTCACTCACTCTCTCACTCACTCACTCACTCACTCACTCTCTCACTCACTCCCTCACTCTCTCACTCACTCTCTCACTCAATCACTCACTCTCTCACTCACTCACTCACTCACTCACTCACTCTCTCACTCACTCACTCACTCACTCACTCTCTCACTCACTCACTCACTCACTCACTCTCTCACTCAATCTCTCACTCTCTCTCTCACTCACTCACTCACTCACTCACTCACTCTCTCTCTCACTCTCTCACTCACTCACTCACTCACTCACTCACTCACTCACTCACTCACTCACTCTCTCACTCACTCACTCTCTCACTCTCTCACTCTCTCTCTCACTCACTCTCTCACTCACTCACTCACTCACTCACTCTCTCACTCACTCTCTCACTCACTCCCTCACTCTCTCACTCACTCTCTCACTCACTCACTCTCTCACTCACTCTCTCTCTCACTCACTCACTCACTCTCTCACTCACTCTCTCGCTAACTCTCTCACTCACCTGACCGTCCCGCCTGCTCTCTGGATCCTCATGCGCTCCTCATATATAATGGGATTGTGTTCCTTACTGAGAGCCAGAGTCACACACTTCCTCTTCCCAGAATCCTCAGCGTGCTCCAAACGACACAGCACTGCCTAACACACACACAATTAAATGTTTTGCATTGTGGCATTATTTTCTGCCCTCCATATTTACAAACGCTTCTTAAACATCATTAATCATGATCATTCGCAGTATCTCATTTTGAAGAATATTACTGAATATAAAAATGGCTGCTGTTTAAAATGAGATACCAGGAATAAAATTAAAATGAAGTTCACAGAACGTTCAAACGTTTTACAAACCATTTACATGTGATAGGGAGCTGGTGTACATTTATTTCATACCAACTTAACATTTTGAAAATACAAACATTTTCATGAATCCGAAAACGTTGCTTTACAAACGATTTACACAAACATCCGTTCAGCGCATGTTTAATTAACGAGGCCCATAGAGTTGCTGTCTGACTGAGAAGAGTGTCATTTGAAAGATTCATGTATTTTTGTTCCAAAGCAATGGGAAATGCTCCAAAGTTTACACTTCTAATTTGTGAAGAGTTTGAAAAAAGTGACTTAATTACTGAGAAATTGTTCCTAGCAGGAAGTGAACCTGTAATGGGCATAAAATTGAAATAGAAATAATTTCAGTTTTGTTGTGTTGAGACTTACTCTACTGTCTCCCAGGTTTGCCACATACAGAACATCATCAACCGCCAGCATACATGTGGCCGTGGAGCCATCCTTCCATGCGGGCTTACTGCAAACACACACACACACACACACACACACGTTTAGCTATCTAAATGGGGACATTCCATACACACTAGAGGCCGACCGATAAAGGATTTTGAAGGCCGATACCGATACAAATATTTTTGGGTTTTAAAATACGATATTCCGATATATCGGCCGATATTTTTTTTTATTAAATATTGTTGGATTTCACACACGTGTAAAAGAAAAGCTAACTTTTCTGCACAAGATACGTTTGATACTTTTTCTCTGTCTAAATGTTCACTCCTCACAAGTCTAACTTACATTTTACAATGCAGGGACTGTAACTAGAGATATGCTAGTTATAAATATGGTAATCTACGGAGGCGTATTGCATTCACTTGAAGAAAAAAAAATCTACTCTGTTTTTCTGAATTAATGAGTTAATTTTTCATGAGAAAAAAAATTTTGCTCTGTTTTTCTGAATTAACGAGTTAATTTTTCATGAGAAAATTTTTTGCTCTGTTTTTCTGAATTAACGAGTTAATTTTTCATGAGAAAAACATTTTTGCTCTGTTTTTCTGAATTAATGAGTTAGTTTTTCTTGAGAAAAAAAGTTTTTGCTCTGTTTTTCTGAATTAATGAGTTAATTCAGAAAAACAGAGCAAAAAAAATCCCATTAAAAATTAACTCATTAATTCAGAAAAACAGAGCAAAAATGTTTTTCTCATGAAAAATTAACTCGTTAATTCAGAAAAACAGAGCAAAAAATTTTCTCATGAAAAATTAACTCGTTAATTAAAAAAACAGAGCAAAATTTTTTTTTCTCATGAAAAATTAACTCATTAATTCAGAAAAACAGAGCAAAATTTTTTTTTCTCATGAAAAATTAACTCATTAATTCAGAAAAACAGAGCAAAATTTTTTTTCTCATGAAAAATTAACTCGTTAATTCAGAAAAACAGAGTAGATTTTTTTTCTTCAAGTGAATGCAATACGCCTCCGTAGTAATCATTACTTTATTTAGGCAGAAAAAGTTCATTGTGGTTTCCAAGCTCATTAATGTTAACGTTAGCGTTCTTCCGCTGATTAGCTAGCTTTGTGGTTAGCTAGTCTATGATGAGCCATAATTTAGCAATAGATGACATCATACTGCAAATTGTAAAACATACATTTTCAATATAACAGGAAAAGGAGAGATGATTGAAGCGTGTTTGGTCTGTTTTTATTTTATTTTTGAAATATTCATTTATCGGCCATTATGACTGCCGATACGATATTATGGAAAACGCCTAATATCGGCCGGCCGATACATCGGTCTGGCTCTAATACACATAATGGTTTTTATACTGTACAAAGTGCATATTTTATCCTCTTACACTAACCCTACCCTTTAATTACTTTATTTTTATACCAGATTTACAAATGAGGGCATCCCTAAAGGGCGGCTTTTGGAGATTTTGGTCACTTCTGGGTACAAAATTTGTCCCTAAAATATAGTTAAATAGGTACAAACACACAAACTCTCTCTCACTCACACACACACACACACAGTGTTTTCTTGGTCTCAGGCTCATGTTAATGTCATATGCAGCAGGATCTGAAGCAGAACTCACTGGCTGGACGCTTTCTTCAAGAAATCCTCGTCAGTTTGACGGAAGGTGTCCAGCAAACACTTCCTCACCAGCTTGTCCAAACTCTCCACATCACCTGAGAATCAAGGTGCATTATGGGTACTGAGGTTCATTATTGTAACTTTGAGTGTGACGAGGATCAGGCGTTTACCTTTGGGAAACTTGCTGACCAGTGTGTGATGAAGATTGTCAGCAGCAAACTGCGACGCTCGAGCTCCTCCGTGACCATCAAACACTGCGAAGTAAGCGAGCCGAGAGCTGTACACACACATACACACATCGTAGAGTTATGATGTAATTATACTGGCAAAAGTAGGATGGATGGATAGATAGATGTGTGCGGTCACTCACACTTGTGAAGGTAGATGAGTGACGCTCAGGTCTGGAAGAAGAACGTGAGCATCTTGCATCTCTTCTCTCTCGCCGCGTCTCGCTGAGACAAAACCCTGGAGTCTGGGAAGATCTGCTGGGACACAGAAAGAGATGGAGATCATCCCAGGTCTTCTCTCTCTCAGCCAAACACACACACACATCCTGAACACACTCTCTGTCAGCAACACAATGTGTGCGAAAGCTGAAAACCTTTACAAACTTTCTTTTCCTCTTGATTCTGGTCTTCCACTTCAGTCTCCTCTGAGCTGACGTCTCTCTTCCTCTTCTCACCTCGTTCTTCATCCTGCTGTTTGGCTTTAACTGAAATCGTTCAACAAAACTGAGAAATAGATGTGTTGAAACACTTCCAAAGCCATTCATCTGCATTAATACACAAGCTATTTTTACCTACCAAGACAGAGACTCACTATGATTGCACTCACATCTAAACATATTAGCAGTAG